GGAAGTCCCATTGGGACTTTTTTAAAGGCTTTTTTTCTTTCTCATTCTTTTGGTAGAATGTGCTTAATGTGCTTGGGAAATGGCTGCAGGTACCATTACAGAGGCGGATGGCTGTTAGCCCTGGTGTGGATTGAGAAGTGCCTAGCAGCTGGGCTAGCCTAGAGCTGGGAGCTTCTTGCATTCTTCAAGTAGCAATGGAGCTCTGCTGCGTTGCCTGCATACACACGCAGAGTCTGAGGTTTGGAGAGGGCTTCAACATGTCACAAGATTTATTTAGGCAGATTGCAGAACGCTGAAACATGGGAAAGGTGATGTGCGAGTTGCTGAGGACACAGACAGTCTTTGCTTTGAATGCAGGCAGAGTTAAGAGCATGTAAGAGGTGCTGCTCGGCTCCTGACCCAGCAGGCTGGTGTCCTGCCGCAGTACTGGTGTGGGCCTGGATGTTTTCACTCTGTTTTTTCCTGTGTATGTTACTAGAATGTTGGGTCTGCTGGGGATTGCTCAAACTGGGAGAACATGCAGAAAAGGGAAAAAAACTTGAAGCAAAGTGGAAAGGTTAATGCAGGCAGCACCTGCAGGTTGTTCCTTGTTGGGGTGGGCACAGCAGACAGTGCCAAGCTGGGGGAAAGGCCTACTCCAGCTCAGCTGAGTGGCTTTCTCACTCAGTCTGATGCGAGAGGAAGAGGGTGTTTTCTTTGCTTTTTCAACAGTAACTGCCAAAAGAAGGCTCCTAGTCTGAGAAGGTTAAAGCTGGGCATTCCAGCTGAACCCTGGAGCCTCTCATTCTGATGTGCTCCCTTTCTCCTCTCTGCCTAGGATAGTCAAGCCAAAAGTGGCTTCCATGGAGGAGTTGGCGAGCTTTCACACGGATGCCTACCTGCAGCATCTGCAGAAGGTCAGTGAGGAGGGAGATGATGACCATCCGGAATCCGTGGAGTATGGACTGGGTAAGGATACATATCTTTAGCGAGAGATTAACTGAGTATGAAGGCCAGGATGCTTTTTGCTGGTGCTGAGGTTAGACAGAAGGGTGAGTTCAGATGGGCTGCCAGGCTCTTTGTGGAGGGAAACAGTTTTTGATGGCGTGTTGCTGAACCCCGTCAGCCAGCGATCACCTGTCAGGCTGGTGTCTTCACGATTGCCAGCAGAGGGTACTGTCAGCCTCACACTGCTGCTCCCTGCGGCTCAACCTGTCCCTTGCACAGCGGGAGCCAGTGCCTTTTGCTGCTGCTTTGAGCATCTCAGGCGAGACAGAAGGCCCTGACATGCTGCCCTTGGAACAGAGCTGAGACTGGCTGCCACATGCCCGCTGTGGTGGAGGGCAGGTGTGAACAACAGCCTGAAGCTACAAACCAGAGCGGCTGCTGTTTGCCTGGTAACTTTGCTTACATCTGGAGCAGAGGCCTCTTGCCTGCCTGGACTTAAGACAGCCTGAGCAATGCAGTAGTTAAAGCAAGTGAGGTCGCTGTGGGTACGGTCTTAGTCTCAGGACCTGGAAGAGTGACCGAGCACTGAGGCAGTGGTGCAGATTCTGCGCTGATCTCGTAAGTCTCCACTAGATCTGCCTTTTAAATTCCTGAAGCTGATCTGTCTGCAGGCAGAGGAGCAGCCCTGGGGTCATGCCTTGCTGGGGAATGGCTCCAGGGAGGCTGCTGTTGGAATAGGTGTAGATCATATTCAAGCTATAGACCTGTGGCATACCTAGGCCTGTCTCCTTTGTGCATGTCTTGTTTTTAGGGGGGAGAGCAGTGACTGTGTCAGGGCTTTCCTGGTAGAGTAGCTGGAGAACTGAGAGTGTTTTTGCAAGATTGGTATGAGGGGCTAGTAGGTCGGGCTAGCCAGGCACACAGATCAGAAGTTGGTTCAGGATCTATCTGTGAATGATCTGAGTGCAAGGAAACATTTGATTGTTGATTTTTGTGGTGAGTTGACCTTGGCTAGCCACCAGGTACCCGCCAAGATATTCTCTGTCTCCCCCTCTTCAATAGGGTAGGGGAGAAAATATGACAGAAAGATCGTGGGTCAAAATAAGGACACGCAGATCACTCACCGGTTACTGTCACAGGCAAAAGAGACTCGACTTAGGGAAATTAATTAAATTTATTGCCAATTAATAACAGAGTAGGATAGTCAGAATTGAAAACAACTAAAATCACCTTCTCTCTCATCCACCCTTCTTCCCAGACTCAAGTTCACCCCTGAGCAGTCCAAGGGTATGGGGAATGGGGCTTGTGGTCAGTTCATCCCACGTTATCTCTGCTGCTCTTTCCTCCTCACACTCTCCCCCTGCTCCAGCCTGGGGTCCCTCCCACGGCAGACAGTCCTCCATGGACTGCTCCAGCATGAGTCCTTCCCACGGGCTGCAGTTCTTCACGCACGGCTCCAGCGTGGGTCCCTTCCCCAGGGTGCAGCCCTTCAGGCACAGATGATTCCAGCCTGGGTCCCCCGCAGGGTCGCAAGCCCAGCCAGCAACCCTGCTCCAGCCTGGGCTCCCCTCTTCATGGGGCCACAGGTCCTCCTGGGCGCCAC